TTTTGGTCGACTAGGGGGCTTCTCGCGTATCCAGGACCTATTCAACTCTTACTTAGAGGCCAGTGACGATACTTGTATGCCCTCACATATTCTGAGCACCCTAGCAGCTCAATTACGACCATTTGGCCTGTGTTGTGAATACTTATCACCTGGTCTTGTGGAGACTGTCTTCTTACCCATTGTGCTACGCTTGTTAGACTGCCTGGATCGGCTTGTCGAGTCTTCTCGACCATTTGAGGAGGTAACTTCCGCAGCCGCTGGCAGCGTTCCTACAAAAACTTCGTGTCATAACCTGACGACCAAAGCATTAGCCCCAGGGTCCGAGTCTTCCTCTGTCGGAACCTCTTCTCCAGGTCTTGGCCTAGAGGATATCCGTACAGAAAGCTTTTCCAATTTCACCTTCTGCCTTCGTGAATTTTTGCGTAGAGTACCAGGCCAAGAGGAGAAGATTTGCCAGCTAGAAGCCTTGAGGCTCAAGGTCGTCTTGCGAACACTCCATGTGAGATTCTGGGCAGGCTATTAATAATTCTATTGCACCTAATCACTTTCAAACCAGCGATCATTTTATTTGCAAATCTTAGTACTATTACAAGTCACTTCTTCCGTTATGGTCCTTACATTTACTATTTCTAATTTATATACTTAAACTCTTATAGATATTTATGCATTTAAACACGTTTCTCCTCTACTTTTTTAGATAATATTGGTACTAAGTTTGCTAGTCTCCTGTTTGCTTCCTTATGGTTTAACATTCCTAATGTCGTCTTCTTTAAAAGGCTATGCTGATCGAGATGTTCTATTTTAGTAGCATAGGTGACTTAGGACAAGAGCGAACAAAATTGGGAGATATAGAAAATATTTATAAATACAGAATTCTAAGGGATTTAAATTAGAAACTCTGCTTACAACATTTTGCTACAGATGGCGCTATTACTGTGGCGAGGCCTTCTAGTCTTAAAAGATGGTAGTTGTACTGCTCCCTTTTAGCCGAATAGATCTCCGAGAGTCAAGCGCCGTTTGTCCGGACGAGTAAATCTTTTATACAGGCCTGCAAGCCAGAAAAGTGATTAGACAGCAATACAGATGCCATGGGTTAAAAAAGGTTACAAAGGCTAGGAGACTTTTTCCTAAATTAATTTGAAGGCTGTGGAGTGAGGCATTTGATTATAGTGTCAGAGTTGACCCGATGTTTCAGAGTTATAGCTCATGTTACGAATAAAACGTTGGTTTCGAAGAATTCCTTAATAAAATATTGTGGCATGACTCTCCATTTCAAAAAAAAGTTGGTTGGAAGCAATTCGTGATGTGGTCTCACCAGAAACTGAAGGAGGATTGTCGCGTAAGGAAGACTATTGAATTGTGCGAAGATGTCCTCGGATCACCGTCCTGTGACCCCGATGAAACTGTGAAAAGCTGTCGTCTGTCCTCGTCGTGACAGACATGATCAGAGCAAGATTGCACACTTTACCAAATAGAGCAAAAATATACTAAACCAAGAGAAAAAAGTGGCTGGCTGCAACCCTAGTCGCTTTTTTATAAACCCTATTTCGCGATCTTAATGAGGCATCCCATGATTTGATTGGCTACTTCAACCTTACTCGACATGATTGAAAATAGGTGAAATTACTTCCCTAACCAGAAGTACGTTCTGTAGCAGCAGTTTCCTTACACAAACAAACTAGCATACGATCTTTTAATGTTTAATCATGTTTGGGCTTGGGCTATTGTCCATTGTATGTATGTAATGTAAGTGTCATGGGAAGTGTGATAGTCCGACCTAGACTCGAGGTTAATACAACCTCCTACTCCTGTTCAGTGGCTCTTCCTGTTCTCCCTTTCTCTCCGTCTCCTTGAGCCTATCCTACAGCCACAAAAAGTTCCTACTTAATTTTCTACTTTCGTTTCTCCTATTCAGGACGTTGATGTTGTGTTAATTTCTATAGACTGCCTTATCTTATGCTTTGACGTGAGGTTCCCGTAACCCGCAAACCGTGTTTTGGACCAGTTCATTGAGTGTCCTGTATTGGCCATGTGTTCAGCGAGCTCAAAATTTGGACCCACAGACCTTTACAAGCGGTTTTATGTTCGCATAGTCTTTTGTGAATTGGTCGGCAGGTCTCCTACACATATACCTTACCACATGAGCACAAAACCTTGTAACAACCTGATCTAGAAAAAGGGTCAGAATATTCTGTAAACGAAGGAACTACTGAAGAAAGTATTAATTTATACGTATGCATTGTTTTTGTTCCATTTCCTCAGTAGTTAGCCTAACTTTTTTCGCAAGCTGACAGGAAGGCAAAATCAGGAACCGAGTAGAATTGTCTAATTTTTATCTCACGCCTGATAGAAAACTCCATTAATCTTGTTAACTACAATTGATATGTAATTTTATACTAATTTTAGTGGGTAATTGTTTTAAAACAGTATATCCTTCAAGATGTGAAGACCAAGATGTTGTGGCCTCGGGTATGGTCGCAGTCTCCTTTCGACTTATAGAAGTG